ACAGGCTTATTACATATATATATATATGTGTGTGTGTGTGTGTGTGTATTTAAACTCTTCCTCCCAGAATTTAAAGGCCACCCATATCAGATGTCAATGATAACTACAGCTCCTTGTTTTAAAACGTGTATTACAAACAGTCTAATGAAGAAGAGTCATGCATGGCAAGATATTAACCTGAAAGAGTTTATGGTTCATAAAGTCTAATGCTATCAGATTTACAAAGAGTCACTTGGGAACTAGCAATGTTTTATATCATTTTGATGAAACCTATTAGGAAGTGGAATTGAAAACAATCCCAGAAAATTTGACCTTCTTAGTATGTATTTTTTCAGGGCTGCCATTTCAGGCCAGGGCACTAAAAGTATCTTCTTTGGAGAAAGGTCAAAAGATTGGAATCACAAGATTTCATGAGGGTTGGATATCTTAGCTGAAATGGTTTAGGAAGGTCCTGTTGTAACTGAAGGTGACAGGAGGATTTAGAAACTCCTATGTTAGTCAGGCTTGAAAGATGGATTGGGCAAGCCAATTAACAGAGACCCAATTGTTCTTTCATACTTGTTTGTAACAGTAGGACTCCATTGCTTTCAGTGATATAACTCCTGATTTATATCCATGCCAGTGAGATCAGAATCAGGCCTTGAAGTCTGAAAAAAATATAATGACAAGGGCAGTACCCTGTCTACAAGGAGAGAACAGAAAACAGTCAGTTAGGAAAGGTTAATAGGAAGACAGCAAGTGTGTGAGGAGAAGTGTCAAGGGAGTGAAAAGGAGCTAAATAAAGAAAACGCACTAGAAGCATGTGAAAGCACAGGAAGAAAAGCAGACTGTGAAAACTATCTGAAAAGATAAATATGCAGTTTGTTCTATTCTACTGAACTGAGGGTGTTTGTAGAACTTGAGCTGCCACCTGTCCTTAGTTCAAATATAAAATAAAAACACAGTGATCTAGAAATTCACTGGTGCCAAAGTTGTCCTTGGAGCAGCTAGCTAGTGTATGTGTGGATAGCTAACGGAGACTTTAAGTCAGGCTAGACCTCTCAGTAATTCAGAGTATCACAAGTTTCTTTAATTTGTACTGGCTTCCATGACCTTCCTACATGTTGTTCCAGCAGCTCAGAATCACCAAACTTAAGGTTCAACCAGGCCAGGGTCCTCTCCTAGGTATGTCTGCTATGCTGGGTTTCACTGGGGGTATTGAACAAGTTGATTGCATAGAACAAGCTCTACAAGTCCTGTGCCCGATGAAGACTATCCCGTGCCAAAGTAATCCTCAGTTACCTAGTTAGAATAGCTAAATAAACTGTAGCATAGGCCAGAGTCTCATACAGTACTATATTTTCTTAACTGATTTGCAATGAATACATTCACTGTCTCTAAAAGGGTAGCTAGCTTTGGTAGCAGGGCTACAGTGGTGATGGTGCTAAACCAGTATGATTGCGCAGATTTGGGGATGCTGCCACAATTACAAAAACAGGGAGCTCTGTGTTGTGTATGTGAACTGAAGCAGCCCTACCTCAACAAAGAAAGAGGGTAGTGATAGAAAAGATACAGGCAGATGCATATCCTGCTCTTTTTCAGGCCCATACTAAAACAGCTAGGAAACTCCGCCAAGGCATTGTCGATCGGTGCAACCAAAACTAAGAATTTGGAATCAGTTTTTCTGTTGTGGAAAAAATTAGACTAAAGTTGGATACAACCTTACTGAAGTACACAGGCTAGTCTGCTGTGTGTAACCATTAACAGTCTCACAACTTTACCTTCATATCCTTGTTCAAAATCTCCTCTCTATTCTTCTTATGCAACATGCTGCATGCCAGATAGCTATCATTCTTCACCTAGAGATAAATATACTTTGGTGTTGTTTATACCAATATATCATTTATGAGATGCTGGGAGAGGTAAAGCTTTTCATACAGCAAATACAATGCACGATTATTTATTACCAGTAACATAGCACACTGTGTTCACAACATATCCTTTCAACAACAATTGCTAAATCTATGTTGTATGTGTACACACAACATGTGCATGTGGCCTGGTTGAAAGGGCGCAGGAGTCATGCTGCAGTCACAGGACAAGGTAACTTAGGGCAGACAGCTGCCTTCATTTGAAAAGCAACAGTATACACCGCCTGCTAGCAGGTGTTGTGGACCGTACATTCACTGGCTTGGGAGTGGGGAGGGGGTGGTCTATACCTGTGCCCCAGAGCCAACAAACCATAACCCCCTGGAAGGCTTCATTAACTTGTTGGCATTGTAGCTAGCCCATTTTTGCAACACTTGCTTGTGGATGGAATTCCATCCAGCAGCTCCATGAGGGGGAGAGGGGAAAAGGCTTCTCCTTTGCTCAACTACGTTATAAAGAGTGTGTATTTGTTGGGACTGGGGAAAGAAGCTGGGAAGGGGGAGAACCAGGTAGGCGGTCTACACTGTAGATCCTTGTCCACCTCTGATGAATTTGAAACTGCTCCTAGATGGTGCCACAACACAAATATTCATACATATCTCTGGCAAAAAAACTTTGAAGAATAGGATATTTTAGAGTGCTAACTACACAAAGAAAAAGAGAAAGCTTGCAGTGTAGCTTACTGTCATTACTGACCTTTCTAAATTTCAGTGGGGGTACTATACTTTTTCCTTGTCAGGCCAGGCCTCTCTTGGTCTGCTGTCTGGTACCATGTAAACCAGTACAGCCTGTTCTATGGTCAGGTTGTCCGTGACTAAACCGGCGCCCCCACCTGGGCTAGCCTGGGTGAGGAGGGTGTGTGGACACCCAGCAGGACTACAAACAAGGCCTGTCAAAGGGCAGATGAGCTCCCTGCAAGCCAACCAACGGCCATCCATACCTGGAGATGGACCTGCCAGGTCACCGTGCCTAAAGAATCACCAATGGTGCAAAGCAACTCAAGTAACCTAGGAGGGTTGTTACAGCATCTAGGGTGCCCCAACAGTCACAGTGCCTTTGGGACTGAGCTGGCTATACTTCTGATCTAAAAATCATTTCACAGATATTGATTATCTTGATGATATTCCCCCAAAACTGACAGACATTACATAATGCAGGCACGTTATGAGTTTGGATGCATATAAATACGAACAAAGTTATAATTCTGTATTTTAAGTCAACCTTAAAAGTAGTTATGAATGTTGTTACTGCACTGTCCCATATGACATCAAACCAATTGTTAAATATACTGCCGGTGGTAAGCGTATGGAGGGCCTATGGAACATACTAAATAATAACAGGAAAAAAGTCAAATCCACACCCTATTTTTGGACTACAAGAAAGATTCACACAGTGCTTTATTTGACTATCCTGCAGATGGCAGCATTGAGCAATTTATTTTTTCCAAAGGGATTGCAACACTTCCCCTTATCCTCTCCCCTCCTTACAGTGAAATAAAAGTTATGCATACAGTACATTTCAGTACTGTAAACTGCAAATCACATTGAATATTCAGTTTAATTTAGCTTATAATGATTTGGGGAAATATAGTTAACTGCTTGACACTACATTAGAGAAATTCTGCTGGGAATCTCAACTTGGCAATTCTGCTGGAAAATAGAAAGGCAGCCCCGCTTTGCATTTCCAGCCATGATCAATCTCCGCTCATCAATTAAAGTCTTTGTTCAGGGCCCCACCGCGCTGACAGCAGATAGGAAATTGTGATTTAAATTTCATCTTGGTAGGAAACAGCCGATCAAGACGGTCCCCGTTGAGCTGGCGCGACAGGCGGCCGGACGAGCGCACGGAAACAGGCAGCCAGCAGCGTGCCCCTGGCACAGAGCCGCTTCAGACCCATGCTCCCCTCGTGCCCAGAGGCCAGCTCCAACATGGGGGCTCTTCCACCTCCCGCTGTCTTTGTGCTTCAAGCTTTATGTGAACGGGAGCGGGCAGCGGAGGCGGGGAGAGGGCAGGGTCGCTGGGGCAGCGCCGGGCTCGTGTAAACAACGCCGCGTCCCGTCCCGTCCCGTCCCGCCAGGGGGGCCTTCCCCTTTGGACACAAGTCGCCTCTCGGAGCCCACGGGCCCTCCTGCCTGTGCCAGGGGAAGCCCCACGGGCCCCGGGGCGGGC